AAGCTTGCTGTAAAATACCATGAATGTCAATGTAATCTCAAAACATCTAAAGACGCTGGGGAGTGCACAGCTGCGTAGTAGATCATAGCTTGGTGGCGAGTGAAAGCTAGAACAATAGGCCAAGAATGTCTGGAAGGTAAACGGTGAAACCCAAATGAAACATGTAAGCTATGGAAGGGGCAGGTGAAAAGCTTGCTGTAAAATACGGCTTGATGCAATGCACAAACCAGAAGCAGAGAGGAAAAGAAGCTCTGAGAATGTTTGGCATGTCATTTGCAGGCTGTTTGCGTACTTCGACATACGTCAGCATGGAGATTTTACATTTTTCCTATGACAAGGGAAAAATGTAAGCTTACATTTTTGAGGTCCAAAAAAAAAAATGTAAGCTTACATTTTTGAGGTCCGAAAACATAGGAAAATGTAAGTTACATTTTTGGACGTCCCCCCCTCTTAATTTGTGGGGATTTTATATATATATATACATGTGTGCCAGATTTGCTGCTAGCTTGAGGGGTTGGAGGGCCCATGCCGAACAGGGGGCATACAATGAATGACGGGCATGTTGGACCATTACAATATATATATATATACATATACTGTATATGTATTATATATTTATTACTGAATAGTCTAGTCTAGCTCTAGTGACTCTAGTTTAGATATTACAACAGTCGTGGAAGCATTTGCTGTCTGTGCGTGTGCCCAACCTACGCAGAGGTCTTGCTTTTGAACATTGGCACCCCAGCCTCCACAGAGGCCATGCTGTAGACGCAACAAGCATGTTCAGTTTCCAAGTGCTGGTTTTTGGGAAAGAAGGCTGAGGGGCTTGAGCCAGATTGCGCAGCCGTGGAAAGAGGTTCCTGCCTTGAACGCGCACAGGTTGAGGATGTGCGTGAATACCTAGAGAAATTCTTGGCTGATGACCGAGTTATTGAGATCCAGTCAGAGCCTCAGCCTGACAAGACCATAGGAAATCTTGCAGCAATACTTGGATGCCTTCGGCCAAGGCCTCCATTGTTGAAATGGCTCGTGCTGCAGGCACCGTGTGTAAAAAAGGCAATTTGCTGTGCAGTGCATTTGCTTGTCTCACTTGTGGGATATGCTCAGGCCTTGTTGTTGACCAGGCACAGTTTCGGGCAATGGGTGTTGAACGGTGTTGAACATGCGTACTGAATCCACGCAACGCTGATTTAAACAATTCGCTGATTTGTTTCTAATTGTTTCTACTGTAATTGTTTTCTCATCACTTTGGAGGCCCAAAAGTTCGGCTGCAAATTACAAGAAGATTTGGGCTTGGCCCTTGATGTGGTTGGTGCGTTTGATGCATGTCAAACCGTCAAGCATGCAACAAACCTTATTATTACAGTGCCAAGTGGAAGTTGTAGGAGCCTGTCACAGGGTGTCACATGCATCCGTGCAGTTTGCATGAGGACCCGGTCAGAGGATCACCATTGCTTTTCCACTCCCTGGATTTGGCCGAAGGCCTCCAAGAGGAGCCAAACATTGAACTTGGACAAGTTTGCATACTTGCAGAAAGAACCAACACAGACCTTTGAATTGAGCTTTGTGTAGCACTGCGTTGGCATTTACCTGAGGCTTACTTTTCCCTTGCCCACTCCAGCTTTGGCAAAAGCTATCAAGAACTTTAACGCTTCCAACCCATTTCTTCTCCACATTTGAAGTATAAAGAAGTTTGGGACTCGCTCCTTTTGGTATCATGTATATAAGTGGGTGATATCCAGGTCATTTTGTGGCCATCGTGTTAGTCATTTGTTTGGTCCTGAAACTCTCGGAGCGGATTCAGGAAAGGGTCAGATTTTGGGCAGGATCTGGGAAAGCGCTTCGAAGTGCGCATTGGAATGCAGGTGCCGAGGGAAGTGAGATTTGCTTTGCAAAGACAACCAGTTTTGATTTTTGCTTTCTCTCTTTGCCAGTACTCGAGCCCCACGGTTGGCGAGTCCTTGAAAGATTTGGCGGAGTCTGGCGTGGACAATGTAGGCAGGGAGGACATCTGGAGGACCTTTGCAAGGCCCAAGACCAAGCGACATCACCTATATATTGAAGGTGTAGGAAGAAGCCTTTCTAGCGTTCACTTTGATGGCACTCCCCCAAGAATTCTTGCGGTCACTTTTTTGTTGAATCTACGCCGAAATAAGCATCAAGCTACACCACACCAACTGACCCTGCATTTTCTGCTATGCTATGCCTCCCCTTGGTTCAAAGTCACAGAGAGAGGAGGTATCTAGAGAAGGCAAAGCAAGTTTCCTATCACAAGGTAGCATATGGCATAACCCTCATGAAGTGTGGGGCATTCTTGCTCAAAAGGAACAAAATGACGCTCAATACTGTGTATGCACTTGCTCATCTCAATCCCCGTTTACATTCTTTATACGTATTGTCGAGCACTTCAGCTACCATGAATGGCAGAGAAGGAGTTCCCGAAGTCTCTGAAGAGGTGCGTCGCATCATCCAGCTTGAGGAAGGGGTGATCAATCGCATTGCTGCAGGGGAAGTTGTGGTGAGACCAGCCAATGCGCTAAAGGAGCTGATTGAAAATTCCTTGGATGCTGGCAGTAAGCGAATTGTCATCATGGTGAAGTGTGGAGGTCTAAAGATGCTTCGAATAGAAGACGACGGGCATGGTATCCGCGCAGATGATTTGCCTATCCTTTGCGAACGCTTTACAACTTCGAAGCTCCAAAAGTATGAAGACCTTCTTAGCATTGGAACCTTTGGCTTCCGGGGTGAAGCTTTGGCATCAATAAGCCACGTGGCGCACGTCACGGTTACCACTATGACAAGTACTGATACGTGTGCCAACCTTGCGACCTACAGTGAAGGCAAACTGCAAGGGCAAGTCAGGCCCTGTGCAGGAACTCCGGGCACCACTCTTGTAGTGGAGAATATGTTCTACAACAATCCAACACGCAGACAGGCGTTGGGCAAAGAGAGCATTGAGCACTCCAAAGTGCTAGAAGTGGTTCAACGCTATGCCATTCACTATCCAAATGTTGGCTTCACTTGTCGGAAGTACAACGGTTCGTTTGAACTCACCACTTTGGGAGGGAGCAGCCCTAGCGAGGTGATTGCAACCATTTGGGGTCAGAACTTGGCTCAGGAGCTGTTCGCTTTTGACGTTAAGTCTGAAGAACCACGCTTCTCGTGTCGAGGCTTTGCATCGAATCCAAACTATTCTAGTAGGGTTTCTACGTTGATTCTGTTCATCAACAATCGCCTCGTAGAGTCAGCGTCCTTGAAGCGTGCAGTGGAAGCAGTTTATCAACCAGTGCTACCACGTCACCAACATCCTTGGGTTTACTTGGCCTTGGATGTAGATCCCACGACCATTGATGTGAACGTTCATCCCACCAAAATGGAGGTGCAGTTTCTACATGAGGAGACAATCTCTCAAAGGCTTCAGGAAACTCTGGCGTCACAGCTACGCAGCGCGGGTAGTGCAAGAAGCTTTGCAAGTGTCCTTCCATCCCCTGCACGTGGCACCTTTACACTTCCTGTGGAGACCAAAGATGTCAACACATCAGACAAGGACAAGGTGGAAAGACGACAGGTACCAAACCCAACTCGCGTTCGCACAGACCATCGTCAGATGTCCTTGGAAACCATTTTTCGTGAATCGCAGGCTTCACAGGGCATGCAGATAGGAGCTGGAGCAGATGCACCCACAACACAAGCTGGCTTTGAGGTTGTAGACTCTGATCGGATGGCAGCATTTGAGGAAGCTCAGCAACTTACGTCTGTTGAAGAGCTACGAAAAGCAGTTGATTTGGCCTGCGATGAGAAGTTTTCAACCCTGCTCAACCAGTCGATCTACGTTGGCCCTGTCAACCACGAACTGGTTCTTTTGCAATGCGGAGCCTCTTTGTGCCTTGCAAATCTAGCAATTCTGGCCCGAGAGTGCGCCTACCAGAGGCTATTGAGGCGCCCTTTGAAAGCAAGCTTGTGCTTTTAAAACTATTAATTTAGGAGTGTAACATAGTGCAACCGTAACCAGTGTAACATATGGATCCGTGCAAGGCATCCACTGGCCCACAATCCATATGGGATCGATTTGGAAGCAAACACTTTCGGACTGTTCTATGGCTTGGTCTAGGATGCTTGGGACATTCCGAGTTGAAAGCACTCGAAGCCGAACTGTGTGGAACTTTACTTTGCATCCTATGCAGTCATCGTACTCAAGTTGCTTCCCACCGCTAATCGAATGACTCTCGCGGAGCTTAGGCTCATTCCCTTGAGTTTGTCAAGCATGCCCAATCCAAAGAACTGCTTAAGTTTTCATAACTTTTCAAGATTGATAAACATTATCATGTAAAGCCACCAGAACCACCATCACAGGTTCTTCACAGTCAAACGCGACATTCAATCGAACTGGTTCAGAACACCACCTGCACACCGTGTGCAAGCAACCGACATTCCCGTAATAAACATAATTGAGCACGAATAAATTATCCATCCAAAGTGTCGAAATAATTCTCCAGAATTCATTTTTCAACGACAATTTCTTTTCAGGGGGATCCTTTGAGAAGGTCAAAACCTGATTGACATCAGAAGTCGTATAGTATATTTTGGGCATGTTGAGATGTGCTTGAAGATATGTGCACAAAATGATAAGTCATACAGATGTGACATGACATGCGACAAACCTATCCATTAGATTTTTGCGTTTGCGTGGTCAAACAGAAGGATCTGAGGACATGACGTTTGAAAGAAAGAGGGCAACCAGGGGTCTGGGGGCGGCCAGGGCCTTGGCGACATCAATGTGGCTTGCAACGCCGGGATTTTGGGAAGGCGCTCAATCGCGAGATGGGCTTTTCGACGGATAACACCGCTTGTAGAGAATCGAGGCCCGCGTTCAAGGAGTGCTGTCACTAAGTGGGAAGGTCACAGGCCGCCTGCGTGAAATTGCGGTGCGGCGTCGAGCGTCAAGATCTGCGCCTACTAAGGCCGTCAAAGATTGATACTGTAAACATTTGCACCCGACAGGGCCGTGCAAGTTCGGGCGAGGCATCAGTACGCCACGCTGGCGAGACACCTGCTGGGTCTAGTCGCTCGGTCCGCTGAAGCGTCATAAACTTTGCAGATATAGACGGCAAGCGCGCAACGCATGGCGTGCTACCGCCCAAGTGCACTACGAGCCTTGTTCTGCTTGTCCATATGCTAAAGCTGCCGAAATCAGCAGTTTGAATTGCCGAGTCGGCGGTTGTAGTTGCCGAGCCGGCCCTTGACCAAGAGGTTTGCTGGGGAAGGGCTTGAATTGTTGATACGTTTTAAAGAAAATATCATCACTACTTAGGTTCCCCCCCACTTCGCATGACAGAATCAACTGGCCTCCTTTTTGGGGTATAATTCTCCGCTTGCATCACTTACATGTTTGCTTTGACTTTTGCTTCCCGTCCCAAGTTAAGGTATTGATGGATCATGGCCTCCCCAATGCAAACAACAAGAGGCAACCCTGCCAAGGTATGGTTAGCTTCAATCCGTTTTTTTGGTTTGCGCCCCCACACTCCAGGTTGATTGGCGGCTTTGGCTGCATGACATTAGAGGAGCCTTTACCCTTATCTGACTTGATGAAGTTGGGCCTGAGAGATCCCCAGTCAGGTTACGACGAGAACCTTCATGCTCATGAGGATATGGTCTCTTTGGAAAGACGTTTTGAAATGCTGTTGCTCGAAAAGGCTGACCTACTCAGGGAGTATTTCATGCTTGAGATTGAGGAAGTCAAAGTCGAAAGTGAGGAAACAAATGGTGTAAGCTCACAACCACGACAGCGGCGCGGATTCTTGAAAAGTATTCCAAATGGCTTGGGTCTGAGCTCAGATGTTGGATGTTGCTTTGACAGTTTGCCACTCTGTTTAGTAAGACTATGCAGTGAGGTTGATTGGAGTGACGAGAAGTCTTGCTTAGATGGTATATGTCAAGTCATAGCAGACTTTTGCGCTGACCTTCTGCTACCCAGCCCGTCTGTGGATATTTCAAGGGCAGCCACCGATGCTTGGAACGCAGCTGTTGCAGCTGGGGAATTCGAAGATGTTGCTGCTGCTGCTACCAAGCGACCTCGTACCAGCCCTCAAGAGTTGCAGGGTCTTCGATGGCTTCACGAAGCTGTTCGAAAGGGGCTATGCAAATGGCCAACAAATTTCACGAAGGATGGAACTGTTTTGGACCTCGTATCTTTGGATCAGCTCTACAAGATCTTCGAGCGTTGCTAGGACATGCTAGGACTGTTTGCTGTGGGAGGATTGCAGGGCTTCTTTGCAATCCGCCAGAACCAAAACGATGCGCCACGAGTCGAATCAAAAAATCATCGTGCGCAAATACTGTAGTGCTTGCAGACACAAGGAGCCTTAGAGCCCCCTGCATATTTGTTGAATCACTTCACACCGCGCCAGTCCTGGTCCCGATGTTTCCGCACTACGCGTCTGGCACCACTGGCAGCTGTTTGGCTGGTGCTTATCGCACAGCTGCGGAGCTGTGCGCCGAGATGAAAGTCAAAGATCAAACCCTTTGCACCCAGAATATATATATATATAGATATGTAGAGAGAGAGAGAGCAAGTAACATGCGCACATTGTTCACTTTCCTGTGCGCTAAAGAATTTGTATGATTCAACGTATTGTTTACCAAACATTACAACTAAGATGTTCCTGAGATGTCCTTGTTTGATGGAGGCACAGGTTTTTTGTTTAACGTAGCTCTTTTTTTCTCATTTCAGAAAGAACGTTTGGCAATCACGATTGGACTTGACGAGGTACTGTACGCCGTTCATCTCAGTTCTTCCACCTTTCTATGGTCGCGTGACTGACAGTTGGATCAGAAATGCTCAAACGGTGAACTTGCGTACTGTCACTTGTGCAACACATGTTTGGTGGAAAAAACAGTTGAAGAAGTCGAAAGCGGCGAGGCCACCGCCTATATGTTGCAGCAATGAAGAAGCAGATCCTGGAGACCATTGGTGAACGAGTGGCTTGGGAGTTGTTAAGGTCGTTATTTTACATGTAAAAAACCGTTTGGGAGTTGTTAAACTCCGGTTCTTCGACGACCCCACTGGCCGGCCTTCCAGAGTGTTTTTGTCGAGGGCAAGAACGTAGAACATACGCTCTTCAGCTTCCACGGAGTGCCGGAGGTGCAAAGCCAAGAAGCAAATAGACATCTGAGACTTTGTACATTTTGACTTGGACATTCTACGAGCAATCACAGTTGGGCCAGTTTGTCCTTACGATTGGCAGGAACAATGTTCTCGAACTGACATCTCCAAGAACTTCTGCAATAAGAGTGCGCCTGCCAGCAAGAATTGAGCCTCATGCGTTTATGTGCTCCTGTATGTCACTGTGTGTGTGTTCTAATCTTTTCTAGAGGCCACGCCGTAGGTTCGGAAGTCTCAATTAAAGATGTTCCTTTCTTCCTTCAGTGTTCCATGGCTAGGGTTCTGTTCCTCACTTCTACTTCCTCCCCTCTGTTGAGTTTGTCTCCTCTCATTGTTCATCTCCCCTTGCATGCCCAACCTCATGTCTCGAAACATGACAAGGGCTGTGGATTTTCTTCCAGCCACTCAGCCACTCAAGATGGCTTGGTGGCTGGCAGTGTGGATCCTGACTGACTGAGTGGCTGACAGTGTAGATCCTGCAGTTGTAGTTGTAGTTGTAGTCGTGGTGGTGGTGGTGGTAGTAGTAGTAGTAGCAGCAGCAGCAGTAGTGGTAGTAGTAGTAGTAGGAGTAGCAGTAGCAGTAGCAGTGGCAGTAATAGTAGTAGTAGTAGTAGTAGGTAGTAGTAGATCCCTACCCCCGAAGATATTTCCGGGAGGGGGGACTTCAAAAAAGTAAGTTACATTTTAGGGTGGGTCCCTAGGGGTCTAAAAATGTAACTTACCCCCCCCCAGGCACCATCGAAACGGGTAAAGGGGGGAGGGGGGGTCCAAAAAACAAGTAACTTGTGGCCTGGCACGTGCCTACCTACATTTTACAACCCCCCCGGGGTGCGTCGGCAGATCGACGGGGTGGAGGGGGGTCTGGAAAATGTCACTTGCAACCTGGCAGGCCTGAACTTACATTGTTGTTAACTCGCCCCGGGCCCCCCCCACCTGTGCGTTGCCTGTCGGATGCAGGCAAAAGGTGAGATTTGCAGACGTCAAACATTGTAACCTACAATTAGTCCATGCATCCAAAGCCTCAGATTTTGCAGGGAATACCTGGGTTATGTGAGAAAGTTTGACCTCACAAATTGTAATTTACGTTTTTGCCACACGCCCAACTCCCCCAGTTTTTTCCAGGAACTGGGGTGTCCCCCTGAGTTAATTACATTTTAACATATCATATTGAAAATCACACACACAAGCGACTCCGCGAAGCGCAAGCAGGGGGCAAGCAACGAGGGGATCAAACAGCATTGAGTATCCTTGCTCTCCTGCACAATAGGCCGGGCAGCTGTGCAAGATTAGAATGGCCTCTCCTTTGTGTAGCATGTGGATGATCCTTTGTTATGTTTGGGCTTCGCTTTGTTGCCTGCCTTTGGGGTCTTGAGTGGGAACATGTATGTTCCTGTTTCTTGGCAGTTTGCTCTGGGTGTGTTTCCTGTTCTTCTTTGTTGATGCAATAGGGGGGGGTCAAAAAATGTAAGCGCCCCACCGTGCCTCAAAAATGTAATTTACACGTTTGAAATCATTTCCCAGGAAATCACCCGTGAGGCCTCAAAATTGTAAGTTATCTTTTTTGAGGCCACCTCAAAGTTAATGTAATTACATTTTTTGAGGCCCTCCGCATAGACAAATGTAACTTACAATTGGGGTAGTGATTAGTAGTAGTAGTAGTAGTAGCAGTAGTAGTAGTAGTAGCAGTGGTGGTGGTAGTGGTAGTGGTAGCGGTAGCGGTAGCGGTAGCGGTAGCGGTAGGCGTAGGCGTAGTCGCAGTCGTACTCGTAGTAGTAGTAGTAGTAGTAGTAGTAGTACTAGTAATACTAGTAATAGTAATAGTAATAGGGTCTGTCCTAATACCTGTAGCAGTCAGTAAACAATTATCATCACTTTTGAGCAAGGCCTTTACGAACCATCATCGTCCACTGTTACAGGTAATAGGATAGACCCAAGTAGTTGTAATAGTAATAATAACAATGGTGGTTGCAGTAGTGGTACCCTAGTTCGCCTCAAAGCTTTTGCCGATGAGCTTCCCGTTTACGGTTTGATGTCTAAAGCTGAAGGGATGTAGATGAATCACCCGAGTTGAGCAGAGACTGTGGCTCTTGGTGACCTCCAGGTGCCAACCATCAACATCCGGAAGTGACCTTCCAGTGGCAATAGAGTCATTGGTTCAGCGACCTGTAGCGCGCTCGTTTGCCTTCTCTTCCTAGGTCTTTGCCAACGTGAGATAGCAGCTCCACGTGGCTATGCCATTCCGATGCACGCCGCACGTGCCACGGTGATCGTTCACTGTTGGCGAGCCTGTGCGCCGAGTGCAGGGCGAGTGGATTGACCAGCGACCAGCCTTGCAGACACCAGACGTCGGTCTGACAGCTTTTACGCAACACGTTTGCGCAAAACGCTTCGCCCAAGCAGGAAGCACAAGAGATAGATCTTCGCGCGCAAATGGATCCTCAAACCCCGACAAACACCTCAAAAGCCTCAAGAGATCGAGAAAAGATCTCATGAACGCGGAAAAGGGGCCAAATCAATTTTTCAAGCCCGCGGCGCGCTTGCAACCAGCGCGCCCCACAGGAACGATCAAGTCCTTGGAGCCCATAAAGATACTGAAGTGGCACTCCGTCGGCGCCCAATGTCGCCGGGAGTGCGTCGATGTTCAAATCCTGGTCAATCTTTCCAGTTTCTGATTTGTTCAAAATGATTTAGAAGAAAACCAAAAAACGGCAGCGTGCCTTCCACCAGCGGCGCCTGTCTCTGGACGCTCTTCGGCGCTGCTGCGTTGACTAGTCTAATGCCTGCGGATTGCCCGCAACGTCGCTCCGCGTCCGCTTGCTGACATGTGACACTGGGTGCTCCTTCTTCCGTTTTTTCTTTCCTCGAGGATACCGTGCTGCCACGCTGCACCAATGTCTCCAACGCCTTTGCAAGCACTTTGGGCCCCTTTAGCTCTGCATCTCCTTCACCTTGTTTTTTCTTCATGCGCCCGCAGAATGACTCCAGACGAGATTTGAACTCCCTGCGGATGTTCTTAGGAGCAGATTTTTTACGATAGTTTCCGGCATGAAGTTGGAGAGCCCTTTAAGAATCACCGGCGTGTTTGATGATTCCAGGACAAGTTCAGTCCTGCGGTGACAATCGGGGCTTTGCTTCGGGTGAATTTTATGTACGCTAAGGGCCCATGTAGTGAACTCCCCATTGAAAAGTATGTTGTATTCCTCAGGACTCCTTCATTAAGAAACCAAGCAATACGATTTCATGCCAGCCTCAACCCAAGGACGAGCGACTGCAAATGACAGGACCGCTGTATGAATGGACTTCTGACGCATTTCAACCGAGTAGGTCACCTTTAAAAAATAATAGGGGAGAACACAAAGGAAAAAGACCTCTCACACACTCAGGTTGTGCACCGCAGCAACTCAGCCACTCAGGATTTTGAGTGGCTGTGTGGCCGGTGTCAACCGCGACCCGGATTGCACACACTCTCCTATTTTGCACATTTTTGCACAATCCCGAAAAGTATTCATACGAATGGGACTGATGACTAGTACAACACGTGTTCCTCGCCCTTGTCCTTTCATGTCCTGTTTTCTCTTTTTCCTTCTTTTGCGTCCTTTTTGCTTGGTTCCGTTTGATAGTTTTTGCCTGCCTCCCTGCTTGACTTTTTCTCGTGTCGGGTGGTTCGTTCTTCCAAAAACTGCAAACGACGTTGAGAAAGGCAACAAACAAAACAATCACCCAAGTTCTGCACAACTATGCCGTCCTAATCACGAAAACTAACACCAGCTAGCTGGAATTGTTCTTGCTTTGGCAAATGATGGGCTGGAATCTTAGAGAGTGCCGCATCGCGGTAAAAACTTCATATTTTGTTGGGTGCTCCCCGGGGGTTCAACTCCTCCCTGGGACGTCACCCGCTTCACCCCCGCCCTGCTAGCTTTCGTTACCAACCCTCGGCCTCAAGTTCCGTGCGAGGAGTTCAGGGGTTTTCACACGATTTGACAATGTTTGCTCGTTCACGGCTTGGATTTCTCAGGCCGATGTGGCAACAACTTGAATCTTTTCGGTTGGCAACATGCACAATACAAAACTCTTCGTACAGAAGTTCATGGCTTTCGAGTGATCGGGTCGATACAGATTAGACGCGCTGTGAAAATTGCCCAAGTTCAAATAACA